GCACAGAACTGGCCAAGGTGGGTGCTTTGGGTGTTGACCGCCCCCCCCCAATCATATCCAATCCTCCTCCCAGAGCTGGGGCCCGTGTGGTTCCCACTTGCAGCCTTCCTGGGTGCTTACTTCTGTGGTGCTGTACTTGTTCAACAGGAAAGTAAGCATCTCGGTGAGCTACCGGTCTTATGGGAATACTGTTGCTGTGGGTGCACTTGACCCTGATCTGTCCTGCACCCGGGTCTGTTCAGTGTCGGCCTCTATTCATCCCTGGCTCCTAGTGTAAATCAGTGCTCGCGCACGCTAGCTACAGCCATGGACGCCTGTTTGGCGGCGAACGTGCGTGACTCGTGTCCTGGGGCGGGGGTGCGAGGTCCTGCCGCGCTGGGGGCGGTGCGGAGAGGGCGGGACCCTCCCTGCAGCGGCGCCGCGCGCGCTGCCTGCGCGGTGGAGGCCACAGCGCCGCCGCGGGCCGTGCTCGCGTTGCTGCTGCTACTCTCTCCGCCGCCGCAGCGGGGCTGAGCCCCGGAGGAGTGAGGGTGGGAGGGGGTCCTCCAACTCCGCTCCCTCCCCCTCCGCCCCGGCGGCGGCCCGGCCGCATGCTGCAGATGGTGAAGACCCTGGCCCAGTTCACCATCGCGCTGGAAGACATGCGCGATCTGGGCCCAGCCGCCGCCTCCAGGGAGCCCGCCGGGGGCGGGGGCGCTGAAGCCACCGAGGAGCCCGGGGAGGCCCAGGTACCGGGAGGGGGAAGGGCAGCCAGGGACCTGGGCTTTGGCCTAGGATGCAGCTGACCCAGGAGATGGGGGGGAAGCGTGGGCAGATGCTGGACATTAGGGCCTGGAACTTCGATCAGGCACCAGCTCCTTACACTCCCCAAGGCAGGGAGGTTGATGATGAGGATCCCTGGCAGAGCTGGTGTGGTTGGCAGGGCGCTAAGGTCAAGGCCCAGGGTGGTACTCAGCTTGTGAAGTGGGTCAGGTGGAAGCACATTTGTTGCCAGGATATGCCAGGTTCCCAGAAAGCCAGATTTCCAGCCTCCCTCTCAGGGTTGAGGCACTCCAGCTGTCTACATGCCCTGGGGGTAGCCAGATTTGCTTTCCCACACCATCTACCCATTGGACCTGCTCCTCTGTGGAGATGTCATGCTGTGAAAAAGGTGGCGACTCCATTCCTGGCTCCCAGTGCCTTCCTGGAGGGGGAGGGGGTGGTTTCCAGGGATGTTGCCTGGTTTTTTGTGTGTCTGTCTGGGCCTGGACTCTGTTCCACTCTCTGGGCCAGGTGGGGACTGTGGCTCTGCCCTCATCTGGGTGCTGTGCTGTGGGTTTCTACTGTCCTGGTCTCTGGGTAGGTCTCTGGGTCCCTGCTGGGTGATTGGACTGCATTTTTGTCTTGATGCAGGGCATCTTGCCTTTATGGCTCTTCTGTTTCTTTCCTCATGATTTGTGTGCATCAGGGTCTCAGTTTTGGGGTTGCGATGACAGGAGAGCTTCCCTCACCCTCTGTCTTCATGCTTTATCCCCCTTCCCACACCTCCCAGGTCCCTATCTGTGTAGTAAAGGTCTGAGGACATGGCTATTGAGGGGTGAGGGGATCTGGAGGGAACTGGGGCCTGCAGGGCTGTCCCGCCTGGAACAGGTGGGCCTGCTGATCTGGTTGACAGCTGCGTTGTCCCTCTGTCTCCTGCTTCCCCTGTCTCCCCTCACCCCATGTGCTGCTCCCGTGTCTGGACACGTGCAGAGGGTGATCCATGCAGTGACAAGGAGCTGGCCTTGTTTTCTGTGCCTTACCTGACAGCTGAGTGACAGCCTACTATACTTTGCAGCAGAGAGGAAGCTGGGAGAGGTGGCATTGCAGCGTCAGCTCCCTGTGCCACCCCAGCCTCCCAGCCAGCAGGCCCAGTGCCAGTCCTGCCTCTCAGGAAATCTCTCTGACCATGACCCAAGCTGGGCCTGGCTGACCAGGGGGTGTGGGCAGCAGATGGTGGCTGTGAGGCCCAGAGCCTGGTCTGGACATCCTGTGATCAGAAAATACCCCACGTGGTCTCACTGAAGTAGACTGAGATGGGACAGTGAGGACCACTGTGCACATGTGACATTTCCCTGTTCCCCATTCCCGAGATTCTCTAGTGCCAGGAGCAGGGAGTTCTTATTCCATTTCATAAAGGAGTGGAAACAAAACTACCAAATCACTCAGCCTGGAAGGGCAGACCTGGAGATTCTGTGGCCTGAGTCTGCTAGTCACTATAAATGAGAACTTGGGATGCTAGGGCCCTAAAACTCTGCATGAGGTGGCTACAGAGGCACTGGCTATGTGATCTTGGGCAAGTCATGTCAGTTCTCTGACTTGACTCATCTGTGACAATGCCAGGGTCCTGGAGCTCTATGAGGCTGCAAGATTTCACATACCTGTGCTTGGCTGGGGAGTCCTGGGGCCTGTGGGCACAGGAGTAGGCATGGGAGATCCAAAGCTGCTCTACGTTTTTAAAGGCCTCAGAAGGTCCAGGATAAATGGCATGGTTGTAGCTGGGATCTCTGAGGCAGGACCTGTGGAGCACATCAGCACAGGGCTGGCAGGGGTGTGGCAAGCCAGCCTCCCGTGACCCAAGGGGATGTTGCTCATGCCTCTGTAGAGCCTGGCATGGGAACCCCCTTTGAGTGTGATTGAGGGACAGGCCTGACCCACAGTTCCAGGGTCAGTGAGAGGGTAGGGTCACCTGAGCTTACCACAGCTAGAAAAGTGAGCAGTTGTAGGACACAGGTGCACCTACCTACATGCAGGCAATACAAATAGTTAAATATTTTTTTAAAAAAAGAAAAGTGAGCCGGGAGTGGTGGCACATGCCTTTCTTTAATCCCAGCACTTGGGAGACAGAGGCAGGAGGATCTCTGTGAGTTTGAGGCCAACCTGGTCTGCATAGCAGGTTCCAGGTCAGCTGGGGCTACAGGGAGACCCTGTCTCAAAAAGACCAAAAAAAAAGAAGTGAGCAGTAGGGGGCTGGAGAGTTAGCTCAGTGGTTAAGAGCACTGGCAGCTCTTGCAGAGGACCTGGATTTGTTGGTTCCCAGCACCCACATGGTGGCTAAAAACCATCCCTAACTCCAGTTCCAGGGAATAAGATGCCTTCTTCTGGCCTCTGTGGGCATTGCAGGCATGTGGTACACTTTCATATATGCAGGCAAACTATCCATACACATAAAATAAATTTTTTAAAAAATTTAAAAAGAAAAGGAAAAGTGAGCAGTAAGCCAGGCATAGTGGCACGTGTCTGGAATTCTAGCACTGGGAAGGTTGAGACAGGCAGGAAATTGTCACAAGTTCAAGACCAGCCTGGACTACAAGAGCAAGACCTTGTTTCAAACAAACAACAACAACAAAAATACTAAAAAAAAAAAAAGGGTAAGTAAACAGGTGTGGTGGCTCACGCCTTTAATCCCAGTACTGGATGGCACCAGTAGGTGGATCTCTGTGAGATGGAGGCCAGATGGGGCTACAAGGGAAACCCAGTCTCAAACAAAACAGAAGGTAAACAGTGGCAGGTTCAGAACTCTGGCCCCTAAACAGACCAAGGACCCTGGGCAGAGCAGTGACAGGGTAGTCCCAGCTCACTGAGTTGATAACTTTAGGAGATGTTGGGGTAAGGACTGGAGGGATGCCCAGGTACCCACTCTGGAATTTCCACACAGAAAGTATCTACTCCACAGGCCTTGATGAGATGTGTGGGAGAAACTGAAACCTGTGGATAGAGAGGAAGACTGAACCAGAGGTGTAGACCCCACACCTTGCGTAGGGTCACTCTAGGACTAGTGGTATCAGTAAGGAATTCTGGAGTGGCAGAAATCTCTTTCAGGGCAGAGAAGCTGTTGGGACTGATGCCATCTGGGAAAATTTTGCCAGAGTCTATGTAAATGGCAGTGTGCATCTTCCATCCCAGTGCTGGGGAGTAGAGACAGGTAGATTTCTGGAACTCCCTGGCCAGCCAGGTTTAGAGAGAGGTGGGAGGGGGAAGGAGGGAGACTCTGCCCCCCCCCAAAAAGGTAGAGCAGTTGGTCATGGGTGATACACACCTCTAATCTCAGCACCCAGAGGCAAGCCACTGTTTGAAGCCAGCTTGGTCTACACAGAGTGTTCCAGGTCACCCAGGGCTACATAGTGAGACCCTGTCTCAAAAAACAAATAATAAAAAGGTGGAGAACAGTAGAGGTAGACACCTGACATTGACCCTTGCTTCTACACATGGAGGCATGGGTGAGCAAGCCTACACATATGTGTACATAGATGCATACACAGAGACAGAAAGAAACAAAGAAAAAGGGGAAAGAACAGAGAGAATATATACCACACAGGCGGTCAAAAGACTGGGTACCATGAACTGTGTAGAACCGAGATTGGCTCAGAGAGGGCTCTGTAACCTTATGAGAATTGGGATCTATCCTTGTCTGAACCCTGATACTTCTAGTGCTGTGGTTTCCAGAACCAGCCTTACTTCCCTGGGCTGCAGTGGCTGCATCTGTCACAAGGAGTCACAGTGTCTACTCTGAAGGTATGACATGCTGACAGGTCAGGCATGCCCCCTTGACGTTGAGCTGGAAAGTGGCATTTTCAAAGTTGGCTCCTGGAGTGGGTATGGCCTAGAGGCACCTTCCTATGTAAATGTGAGGGTTTACTGATGCTTTGTTCTTGTTTGTCCAGAACCCATCATGGGAGCCAAGAAATAAACCAGAGGTATCAGAACTGCCCCAGCTGCTAGGGGTAGAAGAGCAGGGTCAACTTAGAGAGGTGTGTTTGAGTTGCAGGGGAGCATTTCCAGCAGGGATAGCACCTGAGAAAAGGCCTGGATGGGGTCCAGGATGCTTTGGGAGACAGTCGTAGGAGCAGGAAGCAGGGCAGGAAGGCCAGGGAAAGGATCAGATGGACTCCCTGGCCCTGTAGGTGAGCCTGTATGTGGCCACAGGTGACAGCAGCTGAACAGAACAAAGTGCCACTCACCTTCTGCTCTTATCCCCACAGGACATGCGGAAGCATGTGACCATGACCCTGTTGGACACAGAGCAATCATATGTGGAGTCACTACGCACCCTGATGCAGGTGAGACCCATGACCTAGGCTCCCAGAGCACTGTTCCAAGTGTGGGAGGCTGACAGGTGGGAACACCCATGTCATGGACAGGGACTGAGACCAGAGTTGTGACCCTGGCATATACCATCCACCTGTGGTGAACCCCCATTGTGGCTGCTTAGAGGAAGAGGTCACTCCTTCCAGGGCAGGTGAGAATGGAAGGACCAGGACAGGGCAGGGTAGGAGTCTCCACCCAAAGGAGCTTCCATATCCCCTCAGCAGCCCTGGACACAAGTTTTGAGCTATGTACCCCCTTGAACATGCCTCTTCTGTTTTACTCATTTACTAGAAAAATACTTGTTGGCTGGAATTAAATGCTGAACACCTGCTGCATGCAGGCTCTGGTCCAGATACAGGAAGCCCAGGGATGAAGAGAAAATAAGTCCTGCCCTGGGAGCTTGTCCTTCTGGGGACAAGCTAAGTAATGGAGCACTCTAGAAGCATGGAAGCCATCTGCCCAGGGTGCAGTCAGGGAAGGCTCCCTGGAGGCAGTGCAGCAGGGATGGCATGTGCAAGGTCGCACCAGCAGAGGCCTTGGCACATACATTTAGAGACCCATGTGGTATGGAACATGAAGGGCTGGTTCCTGGGTGGCATTGCAGGAGCCAGCAGGAGTCACACTGTAGGGGCCTTGAACCCCACAGGGAGGATTTGGACCCCAGCGGGGTACCTGGAGAGCCATTAAAGGGTTCTGAGCCAGGTAGGCATGTGGTTGAATTCATGCTTTACGAGGTTCAACTGACTGCTGGGTAAAAAAATGGCAGAAGAGGAGGCCAGGTCGGGACCACCAAGTTCCAGCAGGGGCAGAGACTGCAGGGAGATGGAGAGGGAGGGGAGCTGCTCAGGTCTGGGGGAGGGGGCATATGGGGGGGTGAAGTGGGGAAGACAGGATTGTATCTGACCAGTGGTCTGGGAGAGGTGGAGCATAGGGGGCGCATCAAGGTCAATATGATGAGCCCAGGCTCAGCAGTGTGGGTTCTGGGGAGGCCCAGAGTCTGGGTATACGTGCTAAAATGGGGCTACAAGCACATTTAAAGGTGAGTTTGCTCAAGCCACCACAGCAGAGTGTGAGCAGAGGATGAAGGCAGAGCCGGAGAAACATCTAGAACCAACCAACTTTCCTCTCTCCCTCCCTTCTTCCCTCCCTTCCACAAATCTGTACTGAGCTCTTCTCTAGACCAAACATTATTCTCTGGGCAGGGTGATATGAGGGACATGGACCTGTTCTCTGGAGCTCACAGACTGTGCAGGAGAGTACCTGTTACCAGCTAGACAAGTCATACCTGGTGACACATGGTGGCATATAAGTTCAAGGGCGTACCTGTGCGTGTACGTAGTACTGTCTGAAAAGGAGGGAGATTCTGGCACAGATGAATTCACAGAACATGGTGCTAGGTGAAATAAACCAGCCACATAATAGCAAATACTGTATGGTGTGTATTCCAAAGTGCTTGGAGTAGTCAAGCTCTTAGAGGTAGAAAGTGGAGATGGTGGCCTGGGTTGGGAAAGGCCAGGGCTGGGAGAGGAGGATGTGGAGAGTTAGTGTTCAGGGGTCCAGAGTTTCAGGCTGAGAAGATGAAAGTATGAAGTACTAAAGTGTGCTAATCTGTATACTGAAAACTGGTTAAAATGGGCCTAGGGATGTAGCTCAGTTGGTAGAGTGCTTGTCTAGTGTGCACGCACCTCTGCCTTTGAGCTTTAGCTCTGCCCAAACCAGGAGTGGTAGCACACACCTGTCATCCCAGCACTCAGGAGGCAGAGGCAGGAGGATTGAAAATAGAAGGTAAGGGGCTGGAGAGATGGCTCACTGGTTAAGAGCACTGGCTGCTCTATAGAGGACTCAATTTCAGTTCCCAGTTCAGGGGGTCCAACTCCCACTTCTGACCTCTGTGGGCATTGCAGGACACTGGTGCACTTACACACATGCAGGCAATATACTCAGAAACATAAAATTAATGAATAAAATATTTTTAAAAATAGGTCATTTTTGGCTACATAGGGAACTCAAGGGTATCCTGGGATTCATGAGACCCTGTCTCAAAAACAAACAAAAACTGGTTAAAATTGTAAATTGTGGGACTGGAGAGGTGACTCAGTAGTTAAGAGTACTTGCTTCTTGCAGAGGACCCACATTCAGTTCTCAGCACCCACATGGCAGCTAACAACCCACATGTATCTCCAGTTTCAGGGGCTCTAACACGCTCTTCTGGTACTGCATGACATGGGTTCACTTACATACATGCAAGTAAAACATTCATACACATAAAATAGAAAATAATGATTTTTTTAATTGCACATTTTATTTTTTGTGTATCTTACCACAAGTTGCTTCTGTTTTTATAAAAAGCCCATAGAGAGATAAGAACACAGAGTTGGGTCTTCCTTGTTGTATGGGCTTGGTGAAGGCTTCGCTGGGGTTGAGGTGTCCAGCAGAGACCTAAAGGGTGGATAGGATTTCAGGGGAGAGCCTGTCAAGAGGGACCAGTTCCAGGCGGAAGGTACTACAAAGAACAGGATGATGGAGGAGCCTGGTGTAGACAGGAGTCCAGAAGTGGCTGATGTGGCTGCCAGGAGGAAGTCAGGAGGCTGGGCAAGGGCTGGGCTCTCCTGTGGGTACAAGATGTCAGGCAGGAAGACTAGCTGTGCAAAGGGCCTGTTGCCATCCATTGGGTGAGCTGGAGGCAGTAGGGTCAGCTAGTCTGGGTTTGAGTCACTTGTCTCCTGCTGGTTGGTAAGAGCCGAATCATTTCACTTCGCTGAGCCTAGGTTTTGCCTGCAAATGTAGCTGTTCATGTCATCTCTCAGAGTGATGATGAAAGGTGGTGTTGGCAGGCAGGAGGCCCAGGGGGACACTGGGAGCAGCGGACCTGGCATTTTCGCTTTCCTCCGAATCTGCTGGGCTCCGCAGGACCAGGAGTGGAACAGGAAGGGTGGGTAAGCAGTCATCACCTGAACCCAAGGACTGGGAGCACAGCAGCCCTGCGGTGTGGGTGAAGACAGGTCCCTTCAGGGCTCTGGAGCATGGCTCCAGTGCTCAAACTTGACTGCAGTTCTTGGGCAGACATGTGACCTGGAGTTTCCACACCCAGTTGCTCCTCACTTGCCCTGACTGTAGAATGGGGATGACAGCACCTTCTCCAAGTGCAGATGTCAGGAGAGACGCGGGCTGCATTTCCCATACTTCCTGCATGTGTGTTGATGCATGCATGTGTTGCATTACATTTAATCTTTGTTTTAACCTTGTGAGATAGATTAGCGTGCCAAATGAAGAAACGAAGCTTGGAGGTTCAGTAGCAGACACTTGCTACATGGTATGTTGCCTGGCACTTTGCCCAGTGCTTTATATGAGGGAACTCATGCCACCCCATTTTACAGATGATGAAACTGAGGCAAAGAACTGTAAAGCCATGTGTCACAGTCAGGAGTACTATAATTGGGTGGAAATCCTGACTATCTTTGTTGTCCCAAACAGAGTGTATAGGAAATGGAGATTGGCGCTAACTTAAAAGTGGATTAGTAGTATGCCTACAGGATAGGGATTTAGATAAAGGAACTAAGGCTCAGTGTAGGGGCAGTATTTGAGAGGTAGAGACCAGAATTGGGTACTCAAGCCTGGACTGGGTAGTAAGACTGGCTCAAAAACACAAAACAGAAATAAATAAATGAACCAGGTATGGTGGCACATGCCTGTGATCCCAGTACTTGGATGGTAGAGGCAGGAGGATCAGGAGTTCGAAATCGGAAACAGACTTGAACTTAACTACTTAGCCATTTTAAACAAATAATTAGAATAATAGAAAGGAGTTAAGTTCATAGCCAGATGGACATAGGATTTGAACCCAGGCCCTAAGTCTACATACACCCTTTCCTGGGTGTCACCCCCTCCTTGGATCTTACCTTGAACCCCAGCACTTCCAACTAAGAAAATTCCTTTCCAGAGCTGGAGAGATGGCTTAGGGGTTAGGAGCACTGGCTGATCTTGCAGAATACCGGGGTTCAGTTCCCAGCACCCACATGACAGCTTGAACAACCAGTTCAGGGGCTCCAACACCTTATTTTGGCCTCTGAGGATATTGCACACACATGGTGCTCTTACACACACACAGGCGAAACACTCATACATAAAATAAATAGCCGGGTGTGGTGGTACACACCTTTAATGCCACCACTCAGGAGACAGAGGCCAGCCTGGTCTACATAGTGAGTTCCAGGACAGCCTTGGCTACAGGGAAACCCTGTCTCAAATTTTTAAAAAAATAAAAATAAATAGATATTTAAGTAATTAATTTTAAAAATAAGCCTTTTCCTGGCTACCCTGACCAACCCTTCTTCCTCCTGGTACCCTGAACCCCTCCACTCTCCTGTTTCCAGAGCTCTTATTCCCTTCTAATAACTCACTTATTTTTTGTGCTCAATGTCTGCCCCCTCTGCTCAGCCCTCAGGTGTGGGGCTGTGGCTCTGGGGCTTCAGGCTGGTGCACATTGAGGGAATGTGGGTGTTAGCCTAACAGGATCTGTATCAGCATTTTGGGCTTTGCATCTGTTAACGTTTTCCTCCCACTGTGTGCCTGACCAGAGGTGAATGGTGCAGTGTCTGCTCCTTCAGTAGCAGCAGACCTTGACCTGGGCAAGGTGCTGTCTCTTACTGGCCAGAGAGTCCTGAGAACAAGGCCACCTGCTATTTCCTCACTGTCACCCTGGGCCTTTCCAGACTCCCCAGCTAGCCAAGAGGAGTCTGTTGAGCTTGATTTTTTCAAGATTGTTTTACAAAACAAGCCAGATTTTTTTTAATGTTTGATATAAATGTTATTATAACATTACATATGCCTTTTCAAGTAACACCCTCATATTTTAATGTGTAGTTAAGAGTGTGGATCAGTAGAGGGCGATCTCTGTCCATAAGAGCATCAGCCATGGGGCAGGCTATCCTGCTCAGAAAACACCATTGAATGCAGATTTGAAGTGAAAAACAAGAACTTTAGTCACAGACTGCCCAGCAGATATGAAAACTATTAAAACATGGTCAGAGAGTGTGAGTACAGGCCTCCAGTAACTTCCAGTTGATTCCCCATGCCCTGCTTGCCACCACAGTATCATATTTTTTTGTAAATTTTTTTATTGGCTATATTTTGACATAGTGTCTTAGTTTGTTCTTCATTGCTGTGACAAAATACTCTGACCAATACCAACTTGGGGAGGAAAGGGTTTATTCAGCTTACATCTCCCAGGTCGCAGTCCTCAGGGAGCCCAAGGTAGGAAGGAACTCAGGGCAGGAACCTGGAAGCAGGAGCTGGAGCACAGACCATGGAGGAACACTGCTTACTGGCTTGCTCCCCTGGCCCCTGCTCAGCTTGCTCTCTTATCCAACACAGGCCCACCTGCCCAGGGGTGGCACCACCCACAGTGGGCTGAGCCCTTCCACATCACTCATCAAGAAGATGCCCCTCAGACATGGCCACAGGCCAGTCCAATAGAGGCAATTCCCTGATTGAGGCTCCCTCAACCCAGGTGTGTCAAGTTGACACTAAAGCTATCCAGCACACATAGGCTCTCACTTTGTAGCCCAGGCTGGCTTTAAACTTGTGATCCTCCTGCCTCAGCCTCCAAAAACTAAGATTACAAGTGTGTGCTACCACACCCTGCTTTGGGGTCTTTCTTGTTCATTGCTTTCTCCCAGTACCTAGAACAGTGTGTGGCACATAGTAAATACTCAGTAAACACTTGCAGAGCTTATAAGGAGGGGTGTCTTCCAGGAAGCATCCTTCCCCTGGTACTCCAAGCTTTGTTCATGTATCTAGCAAACCTTCCCTGAATCTCCCTCACCTCCTTGACCTCCCTGGGCTACGCAGGAGCATAGTTTTGGGGACAGAGCCCTCCCCACTGCCTGAGCTTCTGGCCTAACCTGGGGGACACAGGCAGGTCAGTGAGCAGCTGTCCTGGATGATTATGTGTTCATTTATTCAAGTACCTGTGTAGGTGTGTGTGTGGGGGGTGCCAACTCTGTGGGAAGGTGCTCTGATCCCATGGGTGGGTCCCCCAGGGCTACATGCAGCCACTGAAGCAGCCAGAGAATTCCTTGCTGTGTGACCCATCACTGGTGGATGAGATCTTCGATCAGATTCCTGAGCTCCTGGAGCACCACGAACAGTTCCTGGAGCAGGTGCGGCACTGTGTGCAGACGTGGCACACCCAGCAGAAGGTGGGAGCTCTCCTTGTCCAGTCGGTAAGTGTCTTGGGTACGTGGACTACAATCCTAGCTACTGACTGACTCTGGTCTCATTAGCTGGCACTGACCTGAACCTAGTCCTGACCCTGAAGCTGGTACTGCTACTGACCAAGACTTCTCATGCATGCCGATATTTTAATCCAAACCTAAACATCTACCCTGACCTTGAACTTGAATATGGGCTTGACATTGACACTGACTGGCTCTTTTTAATAATCATAGTTCATGCTTTCTGGTGCTTATTATGTGCTAGGCATTATTATAAACACGATATATATCAACAGCCCTGGGAGGAAGGGATAGTAACTACCCTAATTTTAAAGTTGATGGCTGAGGCATGGAATGGTATGTCTCCTAGTTAGAGTCCCAAGCTGACACTTCTCTCCCCGCAGGCCAGGTTTTCCCATGAGCTTTTCAAGGTCCTTCAGTGGTGGCTCTGAATTCTAAAACAACCACAAAATCAAAGCCAATAATCATTTCATTAAATGCCTGGAATACATAGCATGCTGTTTTCTTCCCCTTCTTAATTTTTGTACTTATTTATAAGCTTAATTACATTTGAAAAACTTGAAGTTCCATTTTGTTATTTTGCTGGAATTCCTGAGACTGTACATGACAACTGATAAATTACAGCCAGACTTGAATAAATGGCTTCTCAGCCACATAATTTCAAAAGAAAAACTGTGAAACTCCTTCCAAAAAATTTCAAGTGAGAAAAAAAATCCTGTCTACGTTGAGATGTGGGTGTGTGCTTATTAGGATGTAGAGAGGGGCCTTGAACCTAAACAGGTCTTAAACTGTCCCTGTTGCTTGGAAATGGATGCCACCAGATGGTGGCGCCAGGACCTCAGCTGGGATTAAGTGCTGCTCTCCCCACCCATGGTCACCTTCACTGTGACTAGGTTCAGTCTCTGCCCGGACCTGGATGCTGACCATGGGCTGACAGAGGCCTCATCCCAGGATGGCTCTTCCCAGGAGTGCTGTCCTTCACCAGCTCAGGCTCTGCCCTATCCTGTCCAGAGGCAGGGCAGTTGGCATGTTAGAGAAACAGAGACCCTGGGACCTGCACTTTAGCCTGTGGTGTAGCCGAGATAGGAACTCAGGTGTCCTCACTTCCAGGCAAGCCACTATCCTAGCACTTGCCAGCAGATGCTAGCCACCAGCATGGACCCTACCCTGAGCCTCACTTTGCTGTGCTGGGAAAGGAGCCCTTCTGCCGTTGGAGGAGAGCTGGTCCTGGGACCTTAGGAAAGCCAGAGGCCAGGTGTAAACACTCAGCAGAGCCCCAGTCAGGCAGCAAGTGTTTCAAAGGAGCTTAGCCTGAGAGTAGATACAGTTGGGTTGGGAAGGACATCCCAGGTAGAGGAACTGCACGGGCAAAGGCCCAGCAGCTAGATGGGTCTGCTCACTCCTACCATGAGGAGGGTCTGAGACCTACTTGCCTGGTTTGGTGGGGTTAGGGACAGAAATGTCTGGGTGGAAGTAAAAGAACCAGGTCTGGTCTCATAAGATATATCTAGGTACATGTACATGCATATAAACACATAAAATATACCATGCCTATATGTATGAACACATATACACACAACATATACCTGATCATACAGTCACATGCCATACATGCAACACAGACACACTTAGACAAAGACACAGAAGTCTAAAACTGACCATTTTAAGTTGAATCGATAGAAGCCAAGAGAGGGTGTAGTGGGTAAGGGACACAGGAGCCTCCCTAACCTTCCTCCTCATTCACAGTTCTCTAAAGATGTCCTGGTGAACATCTATTCTGCCTATATTGATAACTTCCTCAATGCAAAGGATGCTGTGCGTGTGGCTAAGGAGGCGAGGCCAGCCTTTCTCAAGTTCCTGGAGGTGTGTGGACTGGGGTAGGGATGAAGGTGGCCCTCACCTCAAGCTAGTTTTGGGGGGTTCCAGGAGCTCTCAACTGGAGCGCTCTGACCTTAGCTCATCAGACTCCCCTCTTGGACTGAGCTGGAGGACTTGCTGGGAGCCTCTTCCTTCCTGGCATGTCCTTCTTCACATGGGGAATGAACACACACACACACACACACACACACACACATATTCTGCTTTATGTTTCAGCAAAGCATGCGTGAGAACAAGGAGAAGCAGGCACTGTCCGACCTCATGATCAAGCCCGTGCAGCGGATCCCACGCTATGAGCTTCTGGTAAAGGTAGGCACCTGCCTGGGTGGGCTGGAAGGCAAGGCCTGAAGGCCTGGTGGGTGGATACAGGATGCTATGAGGCTTGTGTCTGTCCTTAGAAATTGGGCAGGAAAGAAAGACCTCCTTGGTGCCTACCCAATAATCTTTTCTGCTCCAGCAATCAGTCTGATGTGCCAAGGACAGCTAAGCAGGTCCCTATTTCCACTCCAGGACCTTTTGAAGCACACACCTGAAGACCATCCTGACCACCCACTCTTGCTGGATGCACAACGGAACATAAAGCAGGTGGCTGAACGCATCAACAAGGGTGTGAGGAGTGCTGAGGAGGCGGAGCGGCATGCTCGTGTTCTGCAGGAGATCGAGGCCCACATTGAGGGCATGGAAGATGTATGTACCTGCCATGCCTGGCTCCATCCTGACCCTGTCTGTGTCTGTCCTGCCCGTGTCTGCATGTGTCACCTGGACAGTGGCCATCCACATCCACATCAGGGTCTGCAGTGTGCTTGCCTCTGTGACCACACTGCCCCACCCATCTGTGTTCTCCTCCCCATCTGTCTGACCTTGTGTTCCTGGCCTGGCTGCAGTGATGGGAGAGAGGACAGAATGTTGCCTCCACTGGCCTGGCTCATGGAGTGAGCCAGTAGGTCACTGGGATTTGTGGAGGGCTAAGGGATTAGTAACTAGTCTTTAAGACACCATGCTTCCCCTGCCCCACAGCTCCAGGCTCCCCTGCGACGGTTCCTGAGGCAAGAGATGGTCACTGATGTGGTAAGAAGTGTCCTGTTGACTGCTTCTCTGTGTCACCCCCAAGTTCATTCTCTGGCACCCTCTGCCCACAGATCTCCTTGCTTTTCCACCTCAACAGGAGCCCCAGAGTAGTCCCACACAATGGGAGAGCCCATCCCTCCTCCTCCTCCCAGGACTCACTATCCTAGTGGGCACTGGGGGCAGGTGGGTGGGCCTCTGCACTGTGTACTTTCAGCCTGAATCCCACTTCGGGCCCCACAGAAGGCGATTGGAGGCAAGAAGGATCGGTCCCTCTTCCTGTTCACAGACCTCATTGTCTGTACCACCCTGAAGCGGAAGTCAGGCTCCCTGCGGCGAAGTTCCATGAGCCTGTGAGTGGCCAGGGTGGGGCTGGGTGGTGCAGGCAGGAGAGCCATCGATCTGCTCTGGGCTCCACTCCCTGCCCAGCCAGAGCACCCCATTGGCTACCCACAGGTACACAGCGGCCAGTGTCATTGACACAGCTAGCAAGTACAAGATGCTATGGAAGCTGCCACTGGAAGACACAGACATCATCAAAGGTGGGGCTGACTTGAGTCTTTCAGAGGGAGGTTCTAGTGTTGGGGTAAAGCAACCACATATAACTGCAGTCAACCATTCAGTCAGCTGTTGTTTGAGTGACTGGTGTTAGATGGTGTGGCTTAATGGTGGCATACCCAGGAGTAGAGTCAAATTGAAGGTTTGATTGGAAGGGTCTGTGTGACTTGGGGCTGAAGCTGTCAGGAGCTGGGCAACCTCAAGGACTGCTTCTTCTGCTGTCTCTCTCCCTCTTTTGCTATGAGGGGCAGTGGTCTCACTCTCTTCATATCCTCTGCTTCCTTGTAACTCCAGTGGCCCCAGGTGAACCAGTCTGTCCCACAGCGCCCCACAGTGAGGACTGAGTACACCTTATCTCTTCTCACTAGCAAATAGGCCACCTTTAGATGGGATGTCCACTCCTGGCCTATTCAACTGTGTGGCCAGGAATAAAGCAGGATTGTTATGGAAGAAAACATGATTGCACAGGTAGTAAGGGTCTGGAGCAGGACAGAGTCTCTCAGGAGTAGGAGATTCTTAGCCTGGATTAATGTAACAAACAAAATACCACAGACCAGGTAACGTATAAAAATAAGTGGGAATTTATCACTCATCATTAGGGAGACAGAACGTCCCAATATAAGACACTGGCAGATTTGGTGTCTTTTGAGGAGACATGTTCCTCATGTATGTCCTTACTTGGTGAAAGGGGCAAGCAAGCTGTCCCAGGTATTTTTATAAAGGCACGAATCCCATTCATGAGGGCACCACCCATAGGACCCTGCCACCGCCTCATACAAACACCAGGGATTACATTTCAGCATATGAGCTTTGGAGAGACACAGTCAACTATGGCAGAGCTATTCCAAGGCTTGGCTTGTGCGCGTGTCCTCCTCACTGTAGACAGTACTATAGCCTCCATGTCCATTGCCAACCCCATGTCCCTATCCAACAGGCTGTCCATGTCCCTGCAAGGTCCCTGGCCACGAGGCCATTCCAGAGATCACTTGTGGATCTCAGAGTCCATTCTTCCTGGAGTGCTGTGGTGACCCCATCTAGGTCTTCTAGCTCACCATTCTGCAACCTGTGGCCCAGCTACAACATGTGCACACACCACCAACGCACTGTATAAACAGGAGCCGAGAGGACAGGAAAACCTGTCATTTAGGAGAGAGCAAAGAGAAAGCAAGCTTCCTGTCCCTTGATTTCAATACTTAGTGTCCAGCCTGGGGTAAAGGGACATCTCCTCTTAGGGATTATTGGTCCAGAGTAGACATAGACTATAAGCCAGAAAGTAAGATGGAGGTGCTGAGCTGGCCTGTGGGGAGCTGTGAGAGAAGACAGAAAATCAAGGCATCAACTCATTGTGCCCTTTCTGGGGAGGCAGGTCTCTCGGTCAGCAGATTGGATTTCCAGGGCTCTGTCTACTTAGGAGGCTGCACTACTGCTGTAGTCCAGTATCAGCTGGAGCCCATGTAACTTGCAGAACCATCTACCTTTCTAGCAAATTCTCCAAGGATCCTGTGCCATGTGGCTCTAAACCAGGCCAAGTTCCTGCCTCTTGGGCCTGGGATTTTCCTGGGAGCTGCCTGTTAGCTTTGTTCCTTAGATCTTGGGTCTGAAAGCTTCTATTTGCCAGGCCCATCCCTTGTTCAGCTTTAAGCTATGCAGTGAAGGAAGTGTCTGTCCAAGTCTGATCTTGTCTTATGTGTCCATGGCTCTTCCTCTGCCCCTGCCAGGGGCATCTCAAGCCACCAATCGAGAGAACATCCAGAAGGCCATCAATCGCCTGGATGAGGACTTGGCCACCCTGAACCAAATGAGCAAGCTCTCTGAGAGCCTCGGCTTTCCTCACCAGGTCTGTGCCCCGTGCCTAAGACAGGGTCAGGCTGGGGCTTCCCTGACCCTGCCTGGGGAAAAGACAGCCTTGGCATTGGCCTGAAGGAACAATTGGCCTTGTCATTTATCTGAGGAGGAAAATTATAGTCTTTCACCCACTTGAAGGAAGTGACCTGTCCCAGGTCTGAGGGAGGAGACATGGCAGCATCCCTTTGAGGGGGAGAGATGCCTAGCCCTGTCTGAGGTGGGGGGACACAGCCTTTCCCTGTCTGAGGGAAGCCCTATTCCCAAGGGCTGGTGCCGGGGTGAGGCCTGGGCTCTCTTCCTACAGACTCTGGACGATGCACTTCGGGATCTCTCAGCTGCCATGCACCGGGACCTTTCAGAAAAGCAGGCCTTGTGCTATTCGCTTTCCTTCCCGCCCACCAAGCTGGAGCTGTGTGCCACCCGGCCTGAGGGCACTGACTCCTTCATCTTTGAGTTTCCCCACCCTGATGCCCGCTTGGGCTTTGAGCAGGCCTTTGATGAGGCCAAGAGGAAGCTGGGTAAGCCAGGGCTCATGCTGGCACTTTTCTCTTACCTCTAGGCTTTTCTAACTTCAGAAGCCAGAGCTCCCAAAATTATAGGATCCTCTTGTCTAGGAGCTGACAGGAAAGGTGGACTGAGACTCCTATTGTGAAAAATCAGGCTGAATGTTACCTCTGACCTTCTCAGCTCCTTCCTGGGAAGGAGGGACCTCCTGGACAGCCATTTTAGGGCAGGGACCCCATGATAGGCCTGAATGAGCAAGACCTCACTTGTCCCATTCCCCAGTGTGATTGAGTCAGGGAAAGCTATTAGGTCTGTGGCTTACAGACCTGGGGCTAACACTATCATACAGATGGAAAAAATTGAGGCTAGAAATAAGCAGGCCGTAGCCTACCACCTCTCATTCTAGCACAGCTGGCATCAGGCCCTCCCTAGAGAGACTATTGAGAGACATGAAATGGAGTGGGACCAAAACCAGAGCAAGGTGGGTGCTAAGCAAGGTATATCTCCCTCTTCTGCCCTGTCCCTTCTGCTACAGCATCCAGCAAAAGCTGTCTAGATCCTGAATTCCTGAAAGCCATCCCCATCATGAAAACTCGCAGTGGCATGCAGGTCTGTGTGTACGTGGGCCATGTGGATTTGTGTATTGAAAGCCATGTGTTTATGAACTTTTTTGTTTTGTGTACTACAGTGCATATGTCTGTGTATAAAGCTTTTTGTGCATGTGCATCACTCTGCATACATGTGGAATGTTTCATGCATATCTGTACGTATGAGCAAAGACTGTAAATGGATGTGAAGTCTAGTTCGTGCACTCTTAGAGTTTTCATCCCTAGGTACCAATATTGCCAGTGTCACATTACATGCATGCATCCATGTGCATATTCGGGTGCATGTATGTGTACATACAGGTTTAGGTGCTGTGTCTCAGGTGTGAGTGCATGTGTTGTGTAGCAGGGTGTAGAGGGATGTATGCAGGACTGTCACCCCTCCATTCTGCTGGGGTCACCTGGTAGAGCAAGATACTGGCTCAGCTCCAACATTCACCTTCCCCTGTGCATTGGCGCTTTCTGCAGTTTTCCTGTGCGGCCCCTACCCTCAGCAGCTGCCCAGAGCCCGCGCCAGAGGTTTGGGTGTGCAACAGTGATGGCTATGTGGGTCAGGTGTGCCTGCTAAGCCTGCGGGCTGAACCAGACGTGGAGGCCTGCATCGCCGTTTGCTCCGCCCGCATTCTCTGCATCGGTGCGGTGCCAGGCCTGCCACCGCGCAGCAGCCCACGGTAAGGCGGGTGGGCAGTGCCAGTGGGCGTACTGTGGGCAAGGAAACAAGCCTCTGCATCCGCACATCAGGAGGCTGCCGGGATGGCATGGGTGGGGCCTGGTCCGTGCTGCCCGCGCGCCCTAGCAGCTCTTGTTCCTTTTCCCTTTGTCTCTAGGGAGCAGCCAGAGCCCCTGAGGAATCGCCCAGAGATGGCACCTGAGCCTGCTGGGGCCGAGCTAGAGATGGAGACCACGGCAGATGAGGAAGGAGCGGCACTGGGCGAGCCAGGGCCCCAACCCTGCCTACACATTTCTATCTCAGGATCTGGCCTGGAAATGGCCCCAGGCCCTGCTGAGGGTGACCCCCGCCCTGAGTTGGTACCCTTTGACAGTGACTCTGATGATGAATCTTCACCCAGCCCCTCCGGGACACTGCAGAGCCAGGCCAGCCAGTCTACCATATCCTCCAGCTTTGGCAGTGAGTATGGATTGGCATCAGAGCAGTGGGTGAGGAGGCACCAGTGGAGGCAAAGGCTGGGATTAGTTCACTGGGTGTTTTGCTTTACCGCTGTCAAGGGCCCGCAAGGTGGGCAGGAGCTCTGACACTGAGGACTCAGCAATGGGATAGGCAGATGGGGTCCTGAAGACCTGGGATTCCAGTGTTAAGGAATCAGGGACTGGATAGAGTCATTAGTCCCTCTGTCCAGTTGTGGCGTGACTTGAAATGTCCAGGCAAGGACTAGGAGCCTGTAGTTTGTGCTGAGTGAGCAGGTTCAAGGGCCAGGACAGGAGAGGAACAACTGGAAAGGTGCCTGGAAGGGGCCAGGGGCATGGCCAGGAGAGACACAGCAAGAGCTGGAAAGGTGTCAGGTCTCTGCCTGATGGAAGGGATGGAAATAGACACCTTTGCCCCCTCAGATGAGGAGACCCCAAGCTCCAAGGAGGCCACTGCAGAGACGACCAGCTCTGAGGAAGAGCAAGAGCCTGGCTTCCTGCCACTGTCCGGCTCCTTTGGGCCTGCGGGTCCCTGTAGCACCAGCCCAATGGATGGAAGAGCCCTTCGCCGCTCCAGCCGTGGCTCCTTCACAAGGGGCAGCCTCGAGGACCTGTTGAGCGTGGACCCTGAGGCCTACCAAAGCTCCGTGTGGCTGGGGACTGAGGATGGCTGGTAGGGGCGGGGGAAGGGTCAGGACACAGCTTTGGAAAACATGTCCTGAAGCAGAAGGAGGGGATGAGAGAAGCTTTGGGTGTAGCCTTGGGTTACAACTAGGCAGACTAGAGGGCCTGACACCCATGAGAGGCTGTAGGAGCTAGTACCTTGGGCCACTACTTGGCATAGGAAGGGGGATGACTTCTGGGGCTGGTGGGTTTGACCACTTGTCACAGGTACTCCCCTAATCCACAGTGTCCACGTCTACCAGTCCTCTGACAGCATCCGAGATCGCAGGAACAGCATGAAACTCCAGCACGCAGCCTCTGTGACCTGCATCCTGTAAGGCCCCAGGTTGCCCTTCCTGCCCAGATGCTTCTTGGACAACATATAGGCCACCTCTATTCATCTGCCCCTGCTCTGCTGGGCCCTCTTTCCTGGGGAGGCTACAGGACAGAGGCCTGGCCCAAGGCCAGCTGTGCCTCTTCCACAGTTAACTTGGGTACATCACCATCTTTTCTCAGCTTCACATTTCCTCCCACTTGGAGAGTAGGGGATAAAGGAAGTGACCTCTTGGGAGCCACAGCCACTCTACTCGTAATTTCCCCTAGCCCCAGGAAACCCACTTTGGTTTTGGAAAGTACCTGATTACTTCTTCTTTCCCCTGCCTAGGTATCTGAATAACCAGGTGTTTGTGTCCCTGGCCAGTGGAGAACTTGTGGTCTACCAAAGAGAACCAGGTATGTCCTCTCATCTTTATCCCCTACCTGGTAGTTGAGCTCTCTACTTGGGCAACTTTCCAGGGCCTCGACCTCTTATAAATAAGAGCGTTCACATCTCTTTTCAGGGGAGGCTGAGACATAAATTCAGAACCTCACTGAATTTCATGTTTTCTTTACCCCATTCCCACTCTAGGACGTTTCTGGGACCCCCAGAACTTCAAGTCATTGACACTGGGTGCTCAGGGGAGCCCCATCACCAAGATGGTATCCGTGGGTGGGCGGCTGTGGTGTGGCTGCCAAAACCGAGTCCTTGTTCTGAGCCCTGACACGCTACAGCTAGAGGTAGTTGGGGTGGGGACAGAATTGGTGACTTGGATGAGCTGGGGGCCCCAGGAGAGGGATACAAGACCAGAGGGACAGAGAAGCATCCAGCTGAGATGTTGGGACCTTGCCTTGAGCCCTCTGTTACCAGGCCAGTCTCTGTCCTTGTCTGGTTCTTATTTATTCTAACTGATGAGGAAGACAGCAAATTACCACATATACTAGAATTTCCTATTCATCCTCTGAGTACAGTATTAGGGTCCTTGGGGGATAAAAGAATCCTTCTGATGTCAGCATCCCTTACTATTAGACTCTGGCCTTTAGTCCTGCCTTCATTTGCACGTACACCAGAGGTTTCCAGCCTGGGTGTTATTTTCACTCAAATTGCATAGGGCAAGGGCACCAGTTTTTAATTCTGGAGGATTGAGTGGGCAAGCTTTGAAGCTGATCATCCAGACCCAGGCTTTGATTGTCAACCTGGCCAAGAGAAGACTGGGGAAAATATATGTGGGGTGGGCATTGGTGGCGCTTGGGCAGGAAGGGCCCAGGGCAGGTTTGTCAGTCACCATCTGATCTCTGCTCTTCTACCCTACAGCACACATTCTACGTGGGGCAGGATTCAAGCCGAAGTGTTGCTTGTATGGTGGACTCCAGCCTGGGTGTGTGGGTGACATTGAAAGGTAGTGCCCATGTGTGTCTCTATCATTCAGACACTTTTGAGCAGCTGGCGGAGGTAGATGTCACCCCTCCTGTGCACAGGATGCTCGCAGGTACCTCCTACATCCACTGACACTTCCCGTGGAACCTTTCTGCCCTGACCTGGAAGACACCTAGCTAAGGTCAGCATCTAGGCCCAGTGATGTTCTCTTTCCCCTCCAGGGTCTGATGCCATCATCCGGCAACACAAGGCTGCCTGCCTGCGGATCACCGCACTGCTGGTGTGTGAGGAACTGCTGTGGGTGGGCACCAGCGCTGGGGTTGTGCTCACCATGCCTGCATCCCCCAGCACTGTCAGCTGCCCTCGGGCACCTCTCAGCCCAGCTGGCCTAGGTCAGGGGCATACTGGCCATGTTCGCTTCCTGGCCGCAGTCCAGCTGCCTGATGGCTTCAACCTGCTCTGTCCAACCCTACCATCTCCCCCAGACACAGGTGGGTCTGCACATTGCACCCCCAGCTAGGGGCCCTGCCAGAGGAGAGGGTTTTTTTGTTTCTGATTTTTTTTTTTTTTTTTTTTTTTTTTTTTTTTTTTTTTTAAAAAAAAAAAAAAAAAAAAAAAAAAAAAGAGGACGATAAATCTTTCACTGTGATATATCAAAATAA